TTAATGCAGTTGTGCACAAGGAACCAGCCGCAGTTGCCGTTAAAGCTGTAGCTCCAGTTGTTGCCAAAATTGCCGCCCCAATTGCCTACGCTCAACCAGCCCTCAAAGTAGCAGCACCAGTTGCCTATGCTCATTCTGCTCCCCTAGGATATGCTGCACCCTCATACTATCATTAATTTAGTTTATCAGAAATCTGTTTTGTAAATATTTATTTCCTAGAAAATATATTTTTTAATTGAAATATTGAAGTTTTACTCAAATATTATGTCCTTCTTCTTTTTGAGGTGCTGCCTCAAATTTTAAATTTGAACCGTTTCCTTTTATTTTTTCTTTTATTATTATTTGAAGAAAGTTATATCTTTTATCAACATTGACTACCTCCCTTTTGGATTTTTCTGGTCTCAGTGTCCCTATCTCCTTTATAAGAAATACATTTTGGTACCAGTAGAGTTCTCATATTATGTTTATAATGTTAAGACCGATGTTCTTTTGTTGTAAACATTCTATTAGTTTTTCGTGCTTGACTTAATCAAATACCGTTTCATTACCTATGAAACATAAATATGCATCTTTTTGTTGATCGCGACATTTCTACATGAGCACAACGAAATTAAACTAGACCTCCCCGAGTCCCATACCGTTTCTGAAACCAAATTGTTCTGGGCACATATCCTCTTCACACTTTTCGTAAATTATGTTATGAATTATTTTTAAAAATAACTTAGACCATTAGAATATTAATATTAGACCAGGAGCCAGTGAATACCTTGACCTTTTCAATTCTGATGGGTCAATTTTTATCAAGAAATAAAAATTTGCTTTAACTTGATGATATAAAAATCAAGCATACACGTCATGAGCAGCGTATTTTATATAAAAAACAAATAACCAAAATAAAATTTTTGTTAAAAAATTAATTAATACTAATGGAATTAAAAATATTTGAGGCCGCATTTTGACTGGCAATATATTATCAATTTATTCTCCTAATTTTAAATGTATGTAAAAATCTAAGTTTGACTAACTACGTTAACAACGTAGTGATCCTGCAGTGGGATCTTGTAATATTAGTTAATTTTGAAGCATATTGAAAAAAAGTATATGTAAAAATTTTCACTATTTTTGGACACAGCAAAATTTTTAAAATTTTTAATTTTTTTGCAGACTCTGAATATTACTATTAGTCCAGTCGCCTCCTAAAAATCATACGAACAAGCTAAATTTTGAGAACAATAATTTTGGGATTCCAAAAAAGACGTAAAACTTTTACTACTTTTACTTTTTATTTGGGGAAGGGGAGGTAAAATCACAAAAAAATCGATTTAGCAGTAATATACCTATACGCCGTAGAAAAAATATTTTAAATATAAAATGTAGCTGAGATAATTTTGTGACAGTCAATTCGGATTTCGAAACGGATTGGGAACACGAGAGGCTCTTTTTGCTTTAAATGTGTTAACGCAACGATGCAGAGACATGAATGTAGATGTATACGCATGTTTTATTGACTATCGAAAAGCATTTGACTGTGTTAACCATCAAAAGATGATCGAAATTCTGAGAACAACTGGAGTTGACGAACAAGACTTGCGAATTATCTCAGAACTATACTGGCACCAAACGGCAAAAATTTAAATAGAGCATACAATATCCGAAGATATAAAAATTCGATACGGAGAGGAGTGAGACAGAGTTGCGTTTTATTACCTCTTTTGTTTAATTTATATTAGGAGTCTCAGGTATGCTGATGATACTGTCTCAATAGCAAGCAAAGCACAAGAACTACAAAATATAATAAATGCGGTAATTCACCACAGCGAAATATTCGGTTTGCATCTAAACATTTCCAAAACTAAAACTTTAGTATTTTCAAAGACACCAATAAACGTACATGTGTATGCCAAGGGTCAACTGATAGAACAGTTCCTCAATATAAGAACTCAATTGTTTCGAGGTTTCCCATATTTCCTGACTAGAGAAATCTATGTGGTTATTCATATTTCAACGAGCAACCCCAGATTTAAAAAAAGTGGCTTCTAGTTGCAATGGAAGCAGAGATACTGTAAATTGTTCCTACGTGTTTCAAGTTTCAAGTTCCGATCTCGAACAATACCTAAACGATAGCTGAAACAGTTATTCCCTACACTTTCCTATGTTGATCTTTCGAAAGTATCTTCATTTCGAAGGACTGTAAGTTTCGAAAAATTGGATGAATTTTATAGTTATAAGTTTCAATATTAAGTTTAGATTTTCGTTCAAAATTTGGGTAACTTTTACTTTACTCTACTCTACTCTACTCTACCTAATGTTTGTAAACAATAAAGACATGATTGTTTAAAAAATAGTCCCTAACTTCGTTTCTATTGGTCATAGAAGGTTTTTTTTTGAAAGTGAGTTTTTTACCAACTATCCAGTGCTTATACGTACAAGTCTGTGACTTGAAAAATATAGAAGTTATGACAATTGTTTATAAGTAAAAAAACATACCCCTTTTTTAAACATTTATTTTGTAAATAATTTCGATGAAAACGCAATATGAATTTACTTTCTGAGATAGTTTAAGTCTTAAATAATCTTATGAAATTTGCTAAATGTGTCTAACATTATTAGTAGAGCAAGTTCAATAGTTTAAATATTTAGCCTCAGGGATAAATAAGTTAAATACCTTTTATACTATTTGACTGATCGGGGGTAAATTTCGCACAAATTTAAAAGATGGTAATTCCTCGATGTTCAAATGTAATAACATTTTATTTTGTTAATAAAAAAATTAATAAAATTTATAAATTAGTGCAAAAAAACTGCTTTTCTGCAAATATCTCCGTAAATTATTTATCAATTTTATTTTAAAAAACAAAGTTGGAAAAATAAAGATATTCTTGATATAAAAAAATGATATAAATATTGTTTATGTAAAGTATACAAAGTGGCCCAAAAGTCTGGAAACGGCTAATTATCTCGTAAATTACTAGACATAATTATACAAAATTTGAGATACGCCTATTTTGGGATACGGAGATTTCATATTTGGTATTTGCAATGTTGCCAGATTTTCAGTTTCTCTTATATTACTAGTAACTTTGGTTTTTCAAATACATCACCCTGTATATTCAGTTATTATTGGAATCTCCTATTAAATACGAGTTCAACCATATGTAACACTTATGATTTTATGTTGTCTGAAAGGTCTTAAATACATAAAACAGAAGTCTGGCAACGCCTAAATTGTTTCAATACATTTTTTAATACTAACTATTTTCAAATACATTAAAACGTAACAATTGATAGTTTAGAATATTTTTTAACAAAATAGTTATGTTACTAAGTGTTCAAAATGTGCTCCATTTGTGAGTTGACAGCACTCTAATCGATGGTAGAATGCGTCTACCTCATTTCTCCATGATTGTCTAGAAATTATTCGAGATTCATCGATAATTCATTGCCTTAGCTATGCAAGACTTGCTGGTTAAGTTTTGTAAACTGAATTTTTCAAGTATCTCTGACGAAATTAATCTTTAGAATTGAGATCGGGTGAACGTGGAGGCCATTCAATTCTACCTTGTCTACCAATTTATCGTCCGGGAAATATCTCATCTAAATAACGCCGAACATTTACACCAACTATCTGATGTTAAATTTCTTTCGATAAAAAATGGCCCAATTAAATAAGTACCTACTATAACTGACCATACATTTAATTTTTGTGGTCTTTGAGTATGGTTTTCACGCATTCAGTGCGAATTTCACACGAGTTCAGCTATTCAATACGAGTTCAACCATATGTTCACTTGATTTTATGTAGTCTGAAAGTAGTAGTAGTAGTAGTAGTAGAAAGAGTAGTAGTAGTATCTTAAATACATAAAACAGTGCAAAATATGTAGATTTTAATAAATTTAAATATTTAAATGGAGAATACTGTGATTTTTGACATTTGTTCACCATTTAAATTATGAACTAAAATTGACAGTAGTTGCTTCTGTAAAATGCCGTTCTCTAAACCGTTCTCCTATTCATAAGACGACGGAACAAAAAACTGGTAGGCGATTTGAGGAATCTGGAGAAGTAAAAGATAGATACCGATCAGGTTGACCGAAACAAGTTATCAATGACAACAAAACTTCAGATATAAGCAAAGTTTTGTTGAAGATCCACATACATCCCCAGGCAGGGTTGCACAAGTACATGATGTAGGTCATTTTTCAGTCTTACGTTTATTACGTAAAAATAAATTTAAATCATACAAAATTAACTTATTGTAAGAATTAAGTGAAGATGACTTTGGTCGTAGATTAGAGTTTACTGAGGTAATGATGGATAAAATTGAAAATTATTAAAATTTTGTTAACAGAATATGTTTTCTGGATGAAGCAACTTTTACACTGTGTGGAAGTATAAATCGACACAATTTAAGGTACTGGTGTGACGTAAATTCACACTGAAGACTGAATGCGTGAAAACCATACTCAAAGACCACAAAAATTAAATGTATGGTCAGATATAGTAGTTACTTATTCAATTGGGTCATTTTTTGTCGAAAGAAATTTAACGTCAGATAGTTGGTGTAAATGTTCGGCGATATTTAGATGAGATATTTCCTGTCTTCCCCCCCTCCCCCAAGTCTTAAAAGCTTTAGATATCTGTGAAAAATTTTGCCGTGAAGTCGATGATTTTTGATATTGAATAATCTCTACAACGATGCCGCACATTAAACACGCTTTGCACGCGGGCGGTCGATTCCCTAGGATAGGCGCTGTTCTGGAGACAATAAAATATGTTGAACAATAATTATAATAAAAAATGCGCTGATATTTAAGAGAATATCCAATTCAAAATTATAACTGTGTTTATTGTAATTTATTTAAAAAGTTTTTTATTTATCATGACCTATGTTTTATAAAGACTGTTCATAATAATTGCAAATCAATATGATATAAATATACATACATCAAGATATAAATTATATATGATATTTATTAAATCATAACAAGAATATATTTGTTGTAAAAATTTATTATCTAAAAAATAAATACATCGTATTTACAAGGCAATATCCAGCGGAATGTTTATTTAGTGGTAGTATGGGGATCCGTATGGTGATGCATATGGAGATGCGTATCCAAGAGGAGCAGCTACTTTAAGAGCTGGTTGGGCATAAGCAATTGGAGCGGCTACTTTCAATGCAGGTTGAGCATAGGCGATAGGGGCGGCTACTTTAGCTACAACTGGAGCAGCTACGGCTTTGACAGCGACGCCAAGTGGTTCTCTGTGTACGACAGCATTGAAACCGTTGTGTGGATCAGCGGTGTAGTCAACGGTACGTTTTGTACCATCGGAATCAATAAGGGAGTAGCTACCTTGGACAACATCACCACGACGGGATTCTTGTTGGCTTTTGCTGTCTCCGGTGTGAGGGTCGCTTACTGCATATCCGAAATCGTAGTGAGCTGGTGCGGATGGTTCGGCATAAACTGCTTTGGCAACAGGAGCGGCATATGCAACTGGAGCTGCTACTTTCAATGCTGGGGCAGCATAATGTACTGGGGCAGCTACTTTAAGAGCTGGAGCGGCATAAGAGAGAGCTGGTGCGGCGTAGGATAGAGCTGGGGCTGCGTATGATACTGGAGCTGCTACTTTGGCGATGGCTGGTCCAGCGGCGTAGGCTACTGGTGCGGATACACTGGAGTAAGAGACGGCTGGAGCTGATGAGTAGGCAACTTTAGCGACTGGGGCGGCGTATGAAAGAGCTGGAGCGGCATATGATACAGCTGGTGCAGCTATCTTGGCAATAGTTGGTGCTGCGGCATATGCTACGGGTGAAGAAATGCTGGAATATGACACTGCTGGAGCTTGTGAGTAGGCAACTTTAGCTACGGCTGGTGCAGCGTAGGCAAGTGGTGAGGAGTACGCTTCTCCGATCACTCCTGCACGAGCAACTGAGACAAAAGCGGCGAATGCCAAAAACTAGAACAAAGTAAGAATAATTAGTCTTTTTAAAACATATCTTGAGCAAAATTATTTTGGTTTTATTGTTGGCTGTATTATGTAATATCAGTGCAAAATTTTTTAAAGATTGGAGCAAAGAAAATATTTGTCGCTTACTTAAAGTGACACCTACGTTCACAAGAAAATTTAAATATATTTTCAAAAGTAAAAAGACCTTAAAAAGAAGACCATGTGGTAATAATATTATAGAATTAAAGTCAGAAGATAGAGCAAGTAAAGAAATGGATCCATATGGAGTGAACTATAATGAAATGAAACATTATAAAATTATGTGACCTTTTTTAATTTCGAAATACTTACAAACTTTAAAAACTACACATGGGACAGATAAAGACGTGAAGGGATTAGATAAAATTTATACGGAAGAATATTATCAAGAGATTACACATACCTGAAAGGGACCTGAAAAGATTTTTGAGGCGGCCAATCCTGACTAACGTCTTTTACTCACTTTACACAGAAAACACTAAAGATTATAAAAATAATCAAAAACATATAAAAACATATAGTAACATTGAAAACATGCGTACAACACAACAATTATTATTGATATATTAACGAAGAAGATGCTTATATGAAAGAAGAAGGATAAAAAGAGACATAAGATTTCCACTCCCTAATCAACTCATAATTGCATAATAAATTGTTACGTTGAATAATTGCCACAGAAAAGAGATTTCTAACACAAACAGCAAATAAAACAAAATAAACAAAAAGAGAACTAACATTCACATCTTTTAGTAAGCGAGATTATTTTAAATTTTCACTTCTCATTTAATGTCTATATTTTGTTAGTTATTTTACATGCAGTTTTAAAATTAAACCTGCTTAGAGTATATATATGATGACTAGAAACGAATTGATTGAGAGTAGTAAATCGATGTCAAGAAACGCTATTCTATGACTTAACCCGTGACGACGCCATATTGTGCCGCTAGTTCCGTGACGCTCGCCTCAGCATTTTACTGTAGAGAAAAAAGTATACAGCGCCAGTATAGAAGCTTTGCTTCATAATGTAATGCAAATTTACCTGAAATACAAGAAAAAAAAAACACCAAAGGTAGTTACAAAAGGAATCAAATTGATGAGTGTTTAGATATATATTTGTTCTCAACAAATGTTGACATTATCAGCCATTTTAAAAGAGTCTACAGTGGTATTTAGTGAGTTTATTTTGAACAAAACACATTTTATTAATTCTACAAGCTGTTCACAGAAGGTTGGGATAATTTTGATTATGATACAATCCCTTAATGTCTTAGCAGGTCAACAACTTATGAAACCGCTAAAGATGTGAAACACATTGTTATGGAAAATCATCTTATCACAATTAGCGATGTTACCTACGATGTCGGAAAATCAGTTGATTTATGCAATGAAATTTTGTGAACAACAAATCATATTTTACCACGATATTTGCTAGTTCTTACGTCATTGATTGCTCTTGCCTTTTTACAGCATATTGACAAACGTGACAGCTCGGTTTGCCAAAATGGAGAAAATTAATATCGCATCGACAGAAGAGACATACAAAAAAATGTATATCAGAAGTACTGTGAGGGTTGGAAAAAGCGCTTGTACAAGGTATTAAACCTGAGAAGGAAGAAGAAAATAGATATTGATGAATAAGTAATTTATTTTTAGAAAAATACAGATCTAAAAGAGCAAGGTAGACAACCATACCAACAAATATGCCTCCACTTTTCCCTACCTAGGCTCAATAATAAATGACAACATCAGTCAAGAAATACAAGCACTAATTCTTAGCGGTAATAAGTGCTTTTATGCATACAAAGACTTATGGATGTAAAACGTGGACCCTCTCAACCACTGATGAAAATCAACTGAGAGTATTTGAGCGCAAAATACTAAGGAAGATATTTGGACCAACCCAATGCAGCGATGGTTCGTGGAGAATTAAAATGAATCACGAGTTAGATGAACTAATGCAGAGCGGAAATATTGTTAGATTTGTAAAGTTACAAAGACTACACTGTCTTAATCACCTAGAAAGAATGCCAGATAATTGAGCTGTAAAAGTAGTCCAGAGATGGAAGCCCCAAGGAAACAGAACAAGAGGAAGGTCCCGTAAAAGATGGATAGACGACGTAGAGAGAGATCTTAAAACCATAAACATCAGGCAGTGTCGAAAGAAAGTGTCCGACAGGGCGGAATGGAAGAACATTGTTATGCAAGCCAAAACTCAAAAAGGGTTATAGCGCCATTAGAAGAAGAAGAAGACAGATCTAAAATAAAATCATCTTTTTATTAAGTGTAACTAACTTTAACATGAATTCCTCTCCCAAATTAAAGTTAAATTTATGAGACTTAGACTGCTGAATAATAAATATGTAAAGTATGTAAGCAGACTTAAAAAGCCAAAGACGCTATAAATGACAGCAGATCCCCATATCACCCCAATCTGTAAGTATGAATCTAAAAAGCTATTAATGAATCACCTGTTCAAGGACTGGAATAAAGCTTAATGAGATAAAAAATAAGTTTAGACTATGGCACCACCCAGGTATCCAGAAGAAAACAAATTTCCCGCTTACGACTTGGACCTACCCAGTTTTCTCATGAACATTTGTTCCAGAAAAAAGAACGACCAATTTGTGATAAGTGCGGTTCAGCCCTTACCATAAAACATGAGCTAGTGAAGAAGTGGGAAAAGTTCAATTGTCACAAAGTGAAATACCATTTACCAAACCATCTTAAAGACATTTGAAAATTAAAAAACACTGTAGATAACCTACTTTTGTTTTTAAAAGACTTTAATTTAGTAAGGAAAGTGAAATTTACTGTTACAATTCCGATAATAACCTTATTAGGTAGAAGCGGGTTTTTTGTAAATAAAAAAAAAGAAGAAATTAATGGTACGCTAGCAAAATAAAGGTAGCAATATTATAGAACTAAAAAACACATATTTATAAAATTAATTATAAATTACACGGTGCAGAAAATTGGATAATAATAAAAAAGCAGCAGTAAAATTATATCGAGTAAAAAAAACAGACAAAAAAAAGTGAGTAAAAAATAAAGAATATCGATAGACAACAAGTAACAAAATAAAAGAGAAAAAAAAGTAAAGTTGTACAAATATATATAAAAAGAGCTAGTGATAACAGATGGGTAAAGAAATATAATACAGTCTTATAAATACTAGGTTTAGACTTACCAAGCCATGACACAAAGCCCTGTGGGAACCCCAAATACATTCACGGGTCTTTTGAAGACACTTGTATTGAAATATATTTCATGTAATCAAATAAATTATTTTTAAGTATAAATTAGTCAGAATAATACACTTTAAACAAACTGAAACTTACAACATTCTGTACTTTTAATTTAAAATTATCAATTATCAATTAAAGAGACATTGTAAGACAAGTAAAAAGGTTAGCTTAAAGTTGTGATTCATTCCCAAAAGATATTTATTAATATGACTTCAGAAATGGATAAATTGAGTATATTTTAAGATGAGAAATTAAGAAAGAAAAAAGACTATTGCAAATAGTGGTAGAAGATAAGAGGAAGGTAACAAGAAATTTAAAGTGATCTATGATAAAAAATATTTTTGAATACCATTTATACCTAATACCACACATACGGAATATAAAATATAGAAATAGTAAGGAAAGAGAGAGAGAAACAAAGAATATAATATTTGTAATGACAATACTCAAAAATAATTTGAAACTTTTAAATATTTGGAAATTAACAACAGATAAATTAAAGAAATAAAGTTGTACAGTAAAATAATATTGTATTAAAACCAAGATAGATTAAAAGACTAAGAATCACAAAAAATATATGTAAACATAATCGACTATACTGATTCATTGATTAGGTGAACAAAAGTCTCGAAAATCTCGTTACAAATTGTTCACTGTATAATATATTGATTTAAAAGATACTCACTTTGAAAGCCATGTTTGTGAGATGTGAATGTGACTGTGCGTTATGCTTTCCGAAGTCTACTTTTATAGTTTAAATATCGGCGTAGAGGCGTGGTCGATCGCCTGGACCTGCTTTATAATCATTCAAAGAACTGATCAACATATTTCGACACCCCCGAGCAAGGAGGCTGTAAAGTTAATTGTATCGATCTCATTGCCCTAGTACATAAATAAGTTATTAAACACTTAATAAAATAAGTTTAATATTTAATAAAATTGCGTTGAAGAGATGTTAAGCTAAGATTTTTCTTGATAAGTTTAAACCATTAGAAAAAAACGGTGGAAAAAAATGATGCCGAACAACGGTTTAGGTTACAAATTTATTATCAGGAAAAAAGGAGTTTTTACAAACTGTTCTGTTGAGTTATTAAAAATACAATTCATTTATTGAAATATGTATTTTTTGCAAAAAATATTACATGTTAACCTTAATAAATAGATTTAGAAATATGCAAATAAAAAGTATAAAATATGCGCATAAATATGCAGTATTTTATCTAAAAATATGCAGTATTTTATGCAAAATATGCATATTTATCTAGAAAATATGCACGTAATAAAAAATATTTTAAATATTTTTTTTACAAAAATACAATATTATAAATACATAATATATACAATTGATTTAACATATAAATATTATTTTGAATCGGGGTAAGAATGGATTATTAAATGATGTTCAAAATTTTCTAATAAAAACTATGGCTTATATCTGAATACATATATTTGTAAATAGAAAAACGTTTTTCGACATTAACTAATGTAACTGGGGATTTTTTCCAATTTGCTATAATAGATGGTTCTAAATTAAGTGTTTCGGAAAATTTCCCAGCTAGTACTTGAACCACCTCAAAAAGAACCTTGTAGCATTTGCAATTCATTGATTTTTTTGGTGTATATTGAAATCCCCTCGTATATGTGATATATTGAGGTCCCTCATATATGTGTGAAAAATTGTCGAATATTTTTAGTGTATGTTTGTTCCTATCGAGCGTATACAAACTCAAATGTGCTTTCAATTCTTTCTTAGGTCGGCCAAGTTAATATAAACCAATTTGGTGCCCAACCAGAACATCAGTATTGGTGGGAAAGAAATAGAACTCGTAGATAGATATAAATACCTGGGACATGAAATTATGATTGGCAGAGATATCCAGACTCATGAACTGAAGAGAAGAGTCGGCCTTGGGTGGGCAGCATTTGGAAAACTGAGAGAAACTTTTAAAAGTGAGCTGCCCACATGCCTAAAGAGAAAGGTATTTGATCAGTGCGTCCTCCCAGTCTTGACGTACGCAGCAGAAACACTTACCTTAACAAAAGCAGCAGCTACCAAACTGAGAGTCACGCAGAGAAGAATGGAGCGGTCCATGTTAGGAATAACTCTCAGAGACAGAATAACAAACGAAAACATCAGGAGAAGAACCGGAGTGACTGACATCATCGAGAAGATAGCCAGACTAAAATGGAGATGAGCAGGACACATAGCCAGAATGACAGATGGGCGATGGACAAAGAGGTTATTGAAATGGAGGCCAAGGGAAGACAAGAGAAGCGTCGGTCGACCATCTACAAGATGGACTGACGATTTAAGAAGACTCAATAAAAACTGGATAAGAGCGGCGCAAGATAGACGGGATTGGAAACATGAGGAAGAGGCCTATGTTCAGCAGTGGACTCTTGAGGCTAGATATTGATGATGATGATGATTTTATAGTTTATATTTTACGGCTGTTAGTCCCCGCCGAAGTACTGCGTTTTCAGATCAATAATTTGCGTCATAGAAATAGGATAGCTACGTTGTTTCGTTGTGTTTTGATATTTCAGCGTTTGTTTGTTTTCAAGTTATATGAACAAATTTTTAGGTTCGTCATTCTTACTTGGGTCGCCGTAGGGGCAACGTAGATTAATTCTTACTTGGTTCGCTATGTGGATCACGAGTATGGATCCGCAAATTCTCCGTCGAATTAGTGTTCTTCTGTTTTTGGCCTCTTTAGTGGAAATATGTAGCAGTAAAAAATAATTTGTGTAGTATACCAAAACATGGTATAATTTTAAAGCAATATATAGGATGTCCCATCAGTTTTGTTGTCGTTTTCCTGTTTGATCCAATTCCATCTACGTCAGATATTCGTTAGTTAGTATGAATTGGTTTCCTTTTGTTCCAGAGTTTCGAACTTCCAGTTTCAGTCCCAGAGATGTAGCAAGTTTCAAGGTTTGAGTGCAAAATTGCTAGTGAAACATCAAGGTAACATTTAATGCTTTAATTTTCAAAGTAAATACTGACATTTTTTTGCTAAAGTAATAATTGCTTTCATTGTTTAAAAAGCTAATTTTTTTATTTGTAATAATTTTTATATTTGCCACAGTTTATACGTCAGTAACATTAGTAAGTTTTCGTTGCATCTCCTGAATTTGTAAATTAGTAGAACGCATGTAAGTTTTTTTGTATTTTGCGACTATTGTGGTAATATTTTTGTATTGTCCTTTTTGAACATTTTTGTGTTCTCTATGTTTTGTAACTGTTTGTGGTAAGACACTAATAAATGTTAAAGTTTATTTTCTTAACATTTTGTTTATTTTTTTGAACTAACCCTTTTTTGAGTTTTATTTGAAAAAGATATGTTTTTTTTATGTTTTGATTTTTCAATAATTATTTCTTTAGTTACCACTAGTTGTTGTACTAGTTATAATTAGGCACCTCAAAGTGACGCTCTATATCAATTACTAGAGGTGTTTCCTGTTTATTTTTATTTTGTTTGTTTCAAGAGATTACTGATCCCTTAATTTCATTGTTTGTAGTTGCTCCAATCCAACCCCTTTATCTTTTACTTATCCACTTTACAAACCCTGAGTACCGTTCGCATATGCTTCGTTTATTTTGCTTGCTTTATCTCCACCCCCTTAGTTTCAGTCCCCAATTTTTTATCCCTTGTATTAATACCCCGTGTGGTAGGCAAAATATTTTCGTTACAACCTTGTAATCACTATGTTTTTAAGGTTACTTTAAATTTTTGAAAAATTTCCTTTCCAATAGTACCTTTAACGTTTTGACATAATGACTCAAATTCTTTTATTAAAACTGTACTCTCTAATAATGATAATTTGGAGGATTCTAATTGAGTTATAGTTTTCTGGACAAAACTATAATTTGATTTTATGAATGACAGTTGCTGTTGGAGGATGTTATTTTGGAAGGCTTGCTTAGCTTATAGTAAGTATTGGCAACTATCGTCAGCTAAAAAGTTAATTATTTTTTTAAATCAACAAAATGATCAGCATATGAATTAGTTGCTTCCAACCATGTTCTCCAACGTATTAAAATGGGTTGCGGTGGCAGTGGAATAGCAGAAAGCATATCTCTGTAACATTGTATTCTTACAGGTGATTTCAGGAATACCTTTTTGAAGCTCGCTATTAAACTATTCTTCTTCTTCTTCTTAGGGTGCCTGTCCATTCCGAACGTTGGTGATCATTCTGACTATGATGACTTTGTTGGTTGCTATACGAAATAGCTGTGTTGAGGTCTTTCTATACCATGCTCCCAGGTTAGCAAGCCCCAATATTCTTCTTCGTCGTGGGGCTCTTTTTCCTTTAATTTTACGCTGCAAAATGCATTGGAGTAGCTCGTATCTGCCGTGATTTCTCATTATATGTCCCAAGTACTCCAGCTTACGGCTTTTCAAAATGTTGACGAAATCCGCGGCTGTGTTCATCCTCCACAGTACTTCTTCATTGATGACTTTGTCTGTCCATGGTATCTTCAGGATGCTTCTATATAACCATAATACAAACGCCTGAAGTTTTGATAGAGTTTCCGCCTTGAATGTCCACGTTTCTACTCCATACAGAAGCACTGAGTACACGTAACATTTAAGGAGCCTTATATATATATATATATATATATATATATATATATATATATATATATATATTGTTAATCGGGTCCATACAACTTAAATTAACTTCAACTGTAATGACATGATTTATCTACAACAAAGTGGAAATAAATAATAGACCAAGGTAAGTCAGCGAATAAGACAAAGGAGGATTACGCCACAGAAAATCATAAGAGTACATGTCTTTTAAGTTAATGTTTGATTTTTAGTTTCATTTGAATTTTAATTAAAGAGTTTGATTATCTCTGAATGTAAAGAGGAAATGATAAAGATGAAACTTTGGTACAAAATGTGAGCTTTTGGGATTAATATATGTATAACTGAGTTTGTTTAGAGATAAATATTCCTAGAACTTCTTATCAAAACTGAATAAACTGGTGTATATTATAGTTCTATTTGGGCATTTAAAGCTCATGATTGCTGAATTTTCATATATTTCTACGATCTAGTCTAATAATAAGTCTAATGTTTATTCCTTTGACCTTATTGAAATTGATTCTAACGTGCAAATGGTTCACCATTCTTTTTGGTTAATTTCGAGCATATATTTTTTTTTTTCATCTGTACAATTTTAACTTATTTTATACATATATTTTTTAAACATAAAACTTTGTTAAAATTATTTAAAATTATTAAAATAAAGTCTATTAAAAAGCACTAAACACCAAAACTTTCTCTTCCTTTTGTGAAAATCGATTTTCCCTCTGAAACTTTTCGTTGGATAACGAGACGAGCAATCTGAATGGAAACAGTTTTATTCGACGCCAATAGAGAAGTGGAAAGTGTAGCGAAAGCGGCCACCGATTTCCATTGGATGCCTTGTGACGAATCCAGTTATAACGAGGGAAGACAACCTGATACTTTCCCAAGTTACATGTTTAACAGACCGAGAATACGCAAGTCCTCAAATTTATTTCCTTGGCAAAAATATTTAGACTTTGAGATTATTTTTTATTATCTGTGTTATTTTAAAATTTTAAATTATCGTACTCGATCTCACTGAACATAAAGTTTATTTTGAAAACATTAATATAGTGTAATATGTTCCAAATGTCCCCATAGTATCATAAATAAACTTCGTAACAATTTTGCAA